GCTCCCCGGTTTCAGCCGGAACGAGGCTCCCCGGTACCGCCTCCTCCCCTCCCCAAGCGCTGTGGTTACAGTGGGTGCGGGCGCAGGGCAGGGGGGTAGCCCGCCGCCCGCCTCGCCCCCGCGACCCCACGACCCCAGGACTCTCTGATCTGACTGTGAGGAGGACGACACGAACCGCTGTTGGTGCTAAATGAACGGAACATGGAGGTCGTTACACGTGCCAGGTTCAATTCTGCTGAAATTGGCTTATGTTTGCTCTGTTTTAGCCTTGCAAACTGAACTCACTTTGTACTTAAAAACTAAAAGAACATTAGTACAATTACAGATCTTAATTTTAAAATTAACTTACTCAGATCTTAAATTTTAAGCATATATGTCAGTTCCCGTTTGATGTTTTGCACTGAACGGGACACACTGATTATTTCATTCTCCAGAACAGTGACATGTACACACATGCACACACACTGCGCGCACTGCACACACTGCACAGCCGGAGCACGCACCACACTGCCCGTGCACGCACCACATGCACACGCGCACAGACAAAGCCACAGGCACTCCGCGCACACACACACACACACACCACTGCCCGTGCACACGCGCACAGACAAATCCACAGGCACTCTGTACACACACACACCATATTGCACACGTGCCCACAATGCCCACACATGCACACGCGCTGCTTAACTTAAGGGTCCCGCCAGGGAGCTCCCCCAGTACAGAGAAATACTGGCCTGGGTTTAAAGTAAGATACAATTAACATTTTAAAAGCATTTAAATTTAGTTTTTAAAATGCCTGAAGAGACTTTGTAAAAACCGATATCAGTGAGTTTTAAAACAGCTTGTGGAATGGCTTTTTACAGAGGCATCTCTTGCTGAGTTAGAGTGGATCTGATTGCTTTAAATCTGAGCTTTCAACAAGGAAGTGCTTTTAACTGCCTCTTTTCCCTCCGAAACCCTGAGAGGAGTTACTCTTGCACGTTCCGAAGCCGGTTGTAGACGGGCCTTTCCTACCTCGCGGTGAGGATCCGGGGCTGCCCTCGCGTCCTACCCGCGGTCTCCGGCCACCTGTGCGGGGCGGGAAGGAGAGGACGCCCGCCCGCCCTCCAGACGGGCCTCGGAGGCCGGGGCTGCGGTGGGGCGGCGCCTGCTCTGCCCCGCCCGCTCCAACCCGACCTCTCCCGCAGGCCGAGATGCAGCTGCTCCTGCTCCTGCTCGTGGCCCTGCTGCTGGCCCCGGCG